GGAGGCAGAGGCAGCAGCAGCGGCAGCAGCGGTGGCAGACGCGGACTGCAGCTTTGAAATAGACCTCTTCGATGGGGTGGAGGGCCCCCACGAGGGGCCCCCAGCAGCAGGGGGCCCCCTGGGGGCCCCCAGCAGCAGCAGCAGCAGACCAGCTTTGGCTTTTCGTTTTGCTTTGAGGGATATTTTCTGGGGCAACCCTGCAGGGTGTGGGGAGGCTAAGCTGGGCAGCAGCAGCAGCTGCTGCTGCTGCTGCAGCAGCGGCAGCACGGATTGCAGCAGCAACAGCAGCGCGCTGCCGCCGCAGCAGGACACGCCGGGGGAGGGGCTCAAGGGGGGCCGCCTATGCAGCACTCCTCGGTTTGCTGCTGCTGCTGCTGCTGCTGCGCAGCCCAAGGCCGAAGAGCAGCGGCTGCTGCCGTGGGTGCGCTCGCCCTGGCGCTGGCTGTGGGCTGCTGCTGTGCTGCTGCTGCTGCTGGACTTTGCTGCTGCTGCTCTCAGCCAGCTTGCCTTCAGCAGCTTGCTGAGCCTCGATGCTGCTGGGCGTGGCGCTGCAGCAGCAGCAGTTGAGCCCTGCGCCGGGGACTCGTGTGGGGTTGAGGCCCCACAGCAGCAGCAGCAGCAGCAGCAGGAGCAGCAGCTGCCGGCCAAAATTGCATGTGACGTCTTGTGCGTGCTGCTGCTGCTGGGCAGCTGCCTGCGCTGGCTGCTGCTGCAGCGGAAGCTGCGGGCAGCAGTGCTGCTGCGCTTTGTGGGGTGTTTCTTGGTGGGGTTGCTGCTGCGGCTGCTGCTGGGCGCGGCCCTGGCTCAGGTGTACAGACAGCAGGGGCTGTGGGGCAGCAGCAGCAGCAGCAGCAGTATTGTGGAGGGCGGGGGAGTTGAGTTCAGCGTGCGGCTGCTGCTGGGACTCACTTTGCCAGCAGCAGAAACAGCAGCAGCAGCAGCAGCAGCAGCAGCTCCCAGTTATGGGCGTTTGCTGCTGTCGCAGCTGTTTGTCTTCTGGTGTATGTACACCTGGGCAGCGCCGCTGCTGCTGCTGCTGCCGGGGGCTGTGTTTCTTTCGATTTGTGTCTGTGGGGTGTTAGCAGCAAATATTATGCTTTTCGACTGTCTTCTTTCTCTTATCGTTGCAGCAGTTTGCTGCTGCTG